CCCCCCCCCACCAGAGAGGTACATGTATTAAAATCCATGAACTTACAATAGCACATCAATATCAATCAAAGTCCATTGTTTTCCTTAGGGTTCATACTCTTGACCTTACACAGTCTATGGGGTTTTAACAAATGTATAATGACATGAGATGGAACTGGAGACTATTATCATAAATGAAGTTTTTCAGGAAATGGATAAATAAAACCACATGTTTTCACTAATAAATATGGGACAAATAATGGGTACATGTGATCATAAAGTTGTGTAAAGGACATTGGAACCTAAGAATAGGGGAGGGTGAGAAATTTACCTATCTGCTACAATGTACATTGTTCTGGTGATGGGTGCACTAAAAGCCCTGACTTCAAAACTATGCAATTTATCCACACAAGAATACTTGTATCCCATAGTATTTTGAAATAAAAAAATTTATTTTAAAAGTGTTAACTTATACAAAAGTATATTCCAAAGCTAAGTCTTTGGCCATTACTCTTACCTCCATTATTTGTAGATACAGTAAGACCACATTTTTATGCTGGGGTACTTTAAGATAGATTTTTCTTCATTTCCTATACTTCTGATGACTTAGCTTAAGTATGTGGTGTTTATATAAAAAAAAAACCATAGACATATGTTTCAATATTTGTTCTCATATTGTTGATGTTAGCCTCCTTTGAGTCATGAAATAGGGTACAATTGTACAAAACACATGTCTTTGTATCTGCAAGGTACGTCTACAGACACATGTGAGCCTAGGACTTAGACAATTGTATTTATCTCATTAAACCAGAAAATAATTCAATTCTGAAAATTTATCATAGGGGATTCTCTCTAGATTCTATCTTCCCTATCTTAAAATTTACAAAGCCCATTCTATAATTTTAGGCTATCTTGAGGTCTGAATGCATTGGTAGCTAGCTCTCTGATGTTATCTACCACATGGTTAGGACAGGATTGTTCCAGGGGAAATAAACGTACTAGAAAAAAGATGGGCAGGGAGGGAAAAAAAAAGAAGAAAGATCTGCTTTTCGGAATCTCCTTAGGGAGTCAAGATAGTTGAATATGAAAAGGGGACTATAAGAAAAATAAAATTATATACTAACATATGATAAATAATTTAAATAACTACAATTGATGGAGAAGACTAGTAGTATATAATACTACTAATAATGAATGCATATTTATTGTCTCTGTGGTTCTTTCACATTAATTATTTTATTCAATATTTCTTACCTTACTCCCCCAAAACTTTGAGTATTATGGGACAAGCATTTTTATTTATCTTCTTAAATTTAGGAGTTATTTTAAAAGTTAAAATTACAATAAGATTATGAATAAATTTGTTTTTATTTAAGTAGCTACTTAACTTAGAAACTTCCGATTTTACTTCCATATTACTTCTTTCTGGATTGTGTTTTATCTTTATACTCATTTATACATTTCTAACATAGTACATAATATCATGAATTTTAACAGATACCTGATATCCTTTTTTGAAAGAAATTTTTAAAAATGGCATTATTTTCTCCATTTTATTGATAAAAAAGAAAAAAGTATTTGAAAGAGTAAATGGCCATTTACTCTAAGAGTGATCTAAGAAGATTCTTATGAAACAAGCAGAGGTATGATCATTCAGAGACTTGGAGGTTATGGTGAAAGAATATAATTTCATTTTCAGAGCAATGGGTAACCATTTATGGGTTTTAATATTAAGCAATTCAGAGATATACTGTGATTAAGCCCCAAATCATCCAGGTTAGGATCTGTAGGAAATGTTCCTGAGTTTTGAGGTGATGGATAAATCATCTGTCTCAGAGGTGCCAAACATGTGGCTGGCAAGCCACATGCTGATTTTGTGAGGACTTTTTTGCTTATCTATGGTGTTGGGTATTCAAAAAAATATGCAGGAATATTTTCTTTGTGCTAATCGTTTGACTTAGTGTTTGTGTATTTAATGTGTGACCCAAGACAGCTCTAATTCTTCCAGTGGGAAAAAAAATTTTTTTTTAAAGTTGTATATGTATAGATTTTTAAGAAACAGCTTTGATTTGCCACATAGGTGGGAGCTAACATCCATGGAGACTTTTGAAGGTGGGACACAATTATAAGAGGTACTTCACCTAACAAATGCAATCAATATAACCTGGCTCTTTGTACCCTCAACAAAGCCCCAACAATAAAGAAAAAAAGAAAAATAATGGATATTAGCTAACCTAGATTTTGATGAAGATGAATCAATTAACTTAGTTTTTTGAGTAGGATTGACATACAACATCAGACAATTAAGATTGTGAACTTGTCCTATAAAAAGGGCTACATACATCACTGCTAAATATCACTCTGGTCACCTTCAAAGTACTCACCTTGGCCATCTGGTGGCTGCAGTGATATTCAGCAGTGAAGTGTGTAGCACTTTTTATAGGATGAGTTATCAGCTATTGTCATAGCTAATCTGACGACAGCTCTGATGGTCATTCCCAAAAACCGGTTCCAAAGTTGCTTTGACAGGTGGACTAGGCACTGGCCTTCAGTGCACAGCTTCCCAAGGGGGGTGCCTCCAGGGTGGCTGTAGTGACCATCAGCGATGAATGATGTAGCACTTTTTCTAGCCAACCCTCACCCCCAACTTGTGTTCAGCCTTTAATCATATGTAGAGGGAGTACTTAAAGAATACCAGTGTCAAATGATTCATTTCCAGTATGCTCCCAAATCCTGAGCCAGCTCTGATGTTGAGGTAACTTTTTCCTTAAAATGTGTGCTAATAATACTGCGAAAATTCAATGATACATTAGTGATGTGTTGGTTTTAGTACTTCTTCGGACATATCTTGCTCTCAGCTCCTCTTTTTTTTTTTTATGATATAATCTTTTTAAAGTACTTTATTACGATGTTTCTCACAAACTAAGAGAGAATAGGGGAACTTATTTACTAGGAAGAGAAAAATCCTTATTTTATAACGTATGAGAAAAACACCAAAAAGAATTTGGCATAGTAACTGAACTCCAGAGTTTACGTTTCCAGTTCTTTTATTCTATACTATATTGTGGCAGTGGTACTCAAAGCTTTCGGAAAGAATACCAAATCCAGTAACGCCTAAAGTGACAGATAACAATATACACTTACATAGCTCATCAAACATAAATCCTCTCTTGCAAATACACAGGTTAAGATACAGCCTATTTTTCTTTTATTAGAGAAATGTACGAACAGTACCCTTGATTATACCCCTGCCAATGGGGCATTTTCTTAGAGAAGGGGCACATTCCTGGCACACTGCCAGATGACCACAAGGAATAAATACAATGGAAACCTCTTTGTCCATACACACTTTACAAGTTCTTTCTTCTTGTAACCTCCTCAACTGTTCTTCCAGTGACAGACCTGAAACATCTTCTGTTGGAATATACTTCATATTCTTATCCACAAATAAGTCCTTATATAATGTAGAATTGATTTCTTTTAGACACTTTTTGAAGATGTTGGCTGCAGCATGTTCTTTCACTGAAGCCATTTCTTCAGCTTGTCTTCCTTTTTCCTCTTCTCTTTTTTCATCTTCAGCATTCAGAAGAGCTGATACAACATCATTGACTGTTTTGTAGTTCTCTCCAGTAGTTAGGATTTTGCTCTGAACTGTCTGTCTTACCAGGCTTCTACTAAAGCCCATTTCCAACACAGATTTCACCACAGGTGTATTCATCATGACTGCATCTTCTAAAGTACTTTCTCCAGATCCAAAATGAACAATTGGTGGATCAGCATTTTCACCTCCAGGAGTTTCTGAAATTGACAATAGCTCTTCAAGAAGATGAGGATATTGACCTTCAATCTCATCAACAAGCCCTTGCCCATTCATGTGTATCAAGAACTCGCACCTTGGAAACCACTTGGCATGTTCTTCCCATGAATCATCTCCAAATTCCCAACCCCTGAAGCCACCATCACAACAAAAGCATTTGACATCATCATTGCGACCGAGACTTGATTAATTACTGTTGTATTGTTGCAGGAAGACAAGGCCCAACGGAGAGAAAGAGCACCCAAACACCATAGTTATAAGAGGAAGGGCTTTATTCATCAGCCGGAAGCTTACGGCATAGAAGATTTCCAAATGGCCGCATGATTTTTCAAGGCCATTTAATGCACTGGCTGCTCACAAATACAAATGTGTATATTCTTTTATTTACCGAGATGACGGAGTTATGTATATGACTAATAATAGAACAGTAGTAAAATTTAATCAGCCTCTATAACCTTATTCAACTTAATAATGTTTCAATCCATTCAAGACATAAAAAATAAGTACAAATAAACTACCATACTTTAGTTATTAAAATGTGTGTGGGCTCTTATTCTAAATTGCTCAAGTTATAAAATTATCTTTGAGCATTGAGCATAGTAAGATATTTCATGAACATACTGATTTTAGTATTAAATGAAATGCTACTTAAAATATTGTAAATAGACATAAATTGAATCTCTATCAAAACAAATACAAGCATTCATGCAAGTTCTTCTAGGGAGGCAACGATGATAGGACCTGATTTCAACTTCTCACCAGATTATTTGCATATTTTGAGACTTTGGACAAGTCATTGAAATGTCTTGGCGTCTTTTTTTATTGCATTTCCTGTAGAATGAGAATAGTATTAGTTTCTACTTTGTAAAACTGTTGGATCTGGACTAAAAGCAATAATAAATGGAAATCACTTAGAACAGTCTCTGGCATATAGTAAGTACTCTATATTGTGTTTATTACCATTATTTTTCCCAGTGATCTTTATAAGTAGATAACCCTGATTCCTTAGCAAATAATTGCACTAAACCTCAACCAAAATAAGCCAAGTATATCAGTGACATTTTCATTAATAATATGTCAAAGTTACACGTTAATGTTTTTTCCAAGTATGCAATTTTAGCAGATATATTTGCAAAGCGTAATTTTCTAGTAGGAAGCTGCTTAGTTTTTTTTTTCTATATACACATAAAGAGAAAAATGAAAATTTGTAATCATTTAGAACTTCATATCAAGTCTATATAGTAAAAAGAAACAGTAGAAGAAATTACTTGTAAATAAGAGTTAATATTACAGAAAACTTGTCCATTATTAAGTATATATTTTTAAACTTAATAGAAAACTTCAGTTCATTGGAGTTCAATGATAATGCCACAAAAATAATCCTTCAGGATTAGTGGGCTGTGTTCCAAGTCCATTTGGAAATAGTTACCTCACTTCCCAAAATCTCTTTCTTTCTTCAGGCTTGAGCTAACCAGAGAGAGGATTATGGAAGAAGTACAAGCTGGGGCTTAGATCATCAAAAAAGGATAGAGATGAATCGTAAAATGGAAGGAATTATAGAGGTGAGAGAAAAAAGAAGGGAAGCACTGCAGGTGCTAAGCCCAGACAGACAGGAGGGGTGGGAATCGTGGGACGTCAGGGACAAGGCTGGAGCCCAGGGAAGAAGCCGGTTCCTGAGATCGCGCCCATGTCGTGTCTGCTTATCTCCAATTCCTCCTTCAGTTTCTACCCTCGCGGGGTCAGAAGGTATAGAGAGCCCATGAACGTAAATGGAGGGGGAAGACATGGCCCCCGAGCCCACAGAAGGAGTCTATCTTTCCCTTCCTCCTGAGGTGCAGGACCCAGTATCTCCCGTGCTCTGGGAACTCAATGTTGTTAAGTATCTAGAAACAATACACCTCACGTGCGGTAGCACCAGTGGGGCTCGTGGATGAGTCGTAAGGAGGGAAGGAAGGGACGCAAACACTAGGGGACCATGGCATGCAGACTGGTTTGTGAGCCGGGAGAGATTTTCCTTGGAGACACCTATAAATAATTGGGGAACATTTATAGGAAGCCGAAACCCCACTAAAATATGGGGCAGCATGGCTGTGAGACTCACAAGAAAGCAGACTATGTACATCTGAAAGAAAAATATCACCTAATTTCACCTACACGGATTTTAAATATATATTCAGTGTTTTCATATGAAGCAGAGAAGAAGACAGGATATCCTTTGAATGGCTCTTCTGAGCATTAAGATAGTCTAACAGCGTCTGGCACTTAAAGGACATTCATCACATTTTAGCTCTTATGATTTTTCAGCCAGCACTTGTACCTTTATTATAATTTAGGATTCCGTTTCTACCCTTTCTGGTACAGGAATTCTGGTGAAGCAAGCATGCATATGAAGTGAGGACATGGTTAGGTTTAACTTAGCTCCCCAAGAGAGCTCACCCACATGGGGCAGAATAAGCCTTTATCATGGGCTTTGAGCTCTTGGGCCTCTGTGAATTTCCTGGTGTAGCTCATGGGTCCAGATCCCTGGCCAGTATCCCTCTTGAATGTCTTTTGACAGCCTAGATTGTCATCTGGACTTTTCAAGGAAGCCCAGGGCCATATTTCCTGTGATAGGGGATGACGCAGCAGCTAGCTGCTAACTTTCATATTAATAAGCTTCTTTATTCTGTTTAATATAGATGGTCCTGTCACAACTTTCACTAAATTTCCTATCACATATCTTCGGATGTAACATTTTTAGGTAATCCTCATTGGATTCAGTTATCTATACATCCCTCTGTGCCAGGCACTATCCTGGGCACTGTGAATGAAAGTTCTGCGTGTCCTGGAGGAAATCATGGTCAGTCCTGGCCTGCTGGCAAATAATCACCATGCAGTGTTGTCACTTAGCACTGTGTGACATTCAAGGTTCTTTTCAGCATGACAGAGACACAGGTTGTGGGATGTCTCATAAAGAGGAGGTTATAAATGAACTGGCTTTTTTCAGGTTGGTTCAGGGAAATAAAACCAGAGACCGGCTAGGATAGTAAATGACACTGTACAGACAATATCATTAGGATTTTTAAAAAGTTACACCTTGGGAAGAATTAGTCTTTCTTTATGAGTGAAAACAATTAATACTTCATAAGAGCAGAGCAATATGATTGGATCTATATTTTAGAAAGTTAATGCTGAGAATTTTATGGAGGATAGATGTAATTAAAAATACTGTATCTAGGGCGATGTCTGTGGCTCAAAGGAGTAGGGTGCCAGCTCCATATCCAGAGGTGGTGGGTTCAAACCTGGCCTTGGCCAAAAACTGCAAAAAAAAAAAAAAAAAAAAAAAATACTGTACCTAAAATGCAGGGGAAAAATCATTTTATCACAAGGACATTTATGCTAGAATGTTTATTCCAACTCAGTTTACAACTGCCAAGACATGGAAGCAGCCCAAATGCCCATCAGCCCATGAATGGATTAATAAACTGTGGTATATGTGTGCCATGGAGTACTGTTCAGCCATAAGAAAAATGGAGACTTTACATGTTTATGTTTACCAAGATGGAGTTGAAACATACTCTTTCTAGTAAAGTATCTCAAGAAAGGAAACAAGGATCCAATGTGCTCAATACTAATATGGAACCAATATATAAGCAGTTATACACCCACACTAAAGAAAAACACAGGTATAGTCTACAAGGGGTAGGAGAGAGGAGGGAGGGTGATTGGTGAGATCTCACCTCGAGTGTACAGTGTGAGGGTGTTCAGCACTTCCCCTGAGTGAAGAGCTCAATTATAACCCGAATTTTACCTTAGAAATGAAAACAATGTAACCTAAAAATTTGTACCCTCATATTAGTCTGAAAAAATTAGGGAAGATAATTCCAGTTTCTTCAAAATCCAAGATCTTTATAATTAGCATAATACTATACTTTTGGAGAATATTAGTTTATTGGTAATGATCTCAAGGGTTTGAAACAAGTATTTTGGAGTCTACAGTTGAAGGTAAGAAAACAATATTACAAAAATTTTAGTCTTCCAAAATTCACCTTAGACTATCTTTAATAGACTATCTATAATTACATTTTCTTAAATATTACATTTCTAATATACACATACTTAAATATTAACTGAAAATGCAAGTCCAAGTAAGTAGGGGAAGAGTCTAGAATTTAAGCCATGGATTAAATCATCTTTAAGTAAAGATCAGTAAGATTTTCGTAGATCTTACAACATTTAAAATATTACTGACGAAGTGGCACACCATGGTCTTGTATTTGAGTTAGAAGGCTAAGATCTATAAGGAATATCCACAAAATATATTATGCTTCCTCAACAAATACGTATAGCAAAAACTTCCCAAGCCCATTAAACTTTAAATCTGCCATTTAATTGGACAAATTATTTTAAATAGCAATGAGCTAAAGATATGAGACATTTGGTAAAATTTTCTAACTTTTTGGCATCATTGTTTCATTATTTTCTAATGCAACCGGTAATAGAAACATATTTTGCATAGCATAACTCACAGGAAGTTTTTAGCACCTGCAAGTGAATTTGAGTAAATGTGCTTAATCTATCAACATGCCCCATGTCAGAGTTGGCGGGAAGCCTGGTAATGTGACCTCATTAAATTAATACTTGTGATGAGGATGAAATGACCACTGAATAGCAGAATAAATAATACATCGTCTTGTGTTCTTTTGCCACTGCTGCTTTGGGCATCTGGGGAAATTAACAAGGGTTACTTGTGTCAATCAGGCAAATCAGAAGTAAAAAGAAATCTTCAATTAATCATGGTATTTTACAACAATCCCTTTGGGAAAAAAAAGAACCCTATTAATAAAAAAGCATTATGCCTTCTGTTGCAGTTGACAAACAGTGGTAAGTTTCTCAGGGGATGTAGGGTAGGAGAGATTCATAATGAAGTTTTCCTTGTAAATTTCTCTAAAATCATTCTAACTGCAAAATCTTAGCAGTTCTGAGACAAGAAACCCCTCAGGGCTTCATCTAAAGAGGTTTTCCTTTTGGCTTTCATAGAGTGAGCTGGTGATTACTGCGTTGGTCCTTTGTAGCCTGCTGCCAGCTACTGTCACAGTTTAAAAAAGTGAAGAGTGCCCTTTGCATCAGCAAATTTGGTTAATCGAGAAATTTCTCAGGAACCATACAAGGAGATTAACAAGTAACTCTCCATATGTCAACAACCCTTACACACACCCTGTGCACACAGGTTTCTGCAGACTTCTTTCTACACACTATTGTACGCAATTTCTTAATCACTATCTTGGGGCTTGTCCTTAAAAATTCCCTGTAGCTGGCAATGAAGACTGAGTTGAATGAGACGGGGAATTCCTATTAGTGTGGAGCTGTTCTGCCATCGTGTACCCAGTGCCATTTATTTTAGGGGGTAGTCTTAAGTCTTATCCTAATTAAAAGCACATCCTCCCTTCTTTCTAGTAATCAGTTTTCATCTCAACCTTGGTGATCTCAGAAATCCTGTATCTCCCTTTTCCCTGATGATTTACCTGATGACTGAGAAAACAAAAACTAAAACTGTTGCTATACACTTTTGTCCTAAAAATTGACCATCACATAAATAGCGGGCATTTATCACTGAAATAATCATCAAATTTGAGACAATAGATATAAACTAGAAATGATCAATTCTTATCCAACATTTGGATATTCTTGGGAATAATCATGTCATAATCATATAAATTTCATCTTAAGCAAATACCAATACCTGGACATATTGCATTTGTCCTGTTTCATCAGTTTGTGAGAGATAATACCTTAAAATGTCTATTTTGAAACATAAGGAGATTTGACTTTGAGGAAAGGACTACAATTTTAAATATCAAGAAGTTTCAAGAAAACAAGCTCCAATTCTCCCATAGGCACATCTACAGAATTGATGCTTGCCATATAGATGGATACATATTTATTTATAACTTCAAATGAACATATTAAATTTAAACATACTATTAAAGTATTTTAACCTAACCTACATTGATATTTTCATAATGGCAGTGCTAAGATCATTTGTGGAACTATTTTATATGTGTAATATATGTTTATCTTTGGAAACATAGAAAGCTGTCCATCACTAGTATTTCAATAAATTTTTATTTTATTAGTGGTGTTTTTAAACTTCTTAGGGCAGAAAAACCTGCATGTTCAAAAGTTTAATCATTTTTCAAGATGTTTAAGCATAAAATCCAGTTGTGAAAAGAGTAGTACATATTCTTGATGCAGGCATGCTCCTCAACATATATATACAGTAATGATTTTTAAAAACATAGGAGATACAAGTTAATACTTCATTGTCACAAAAAGGAATATTTCATTATAAAAATAAAGCAAAAATGCAGTGCATTGTGTCAAAAGTTTATCACCATAATGTTATGACCTTGGTAACTCATTTGAAGCTTTTTTCTCAAGTTATAAGATATAATTCTGCAGTGGAGTAACAAATCATATGACACAATGCTATTATTTCTTTTATTTATCTAGGATGCTACCTCTCTTTACCTATCTAAAAGCAATTTGGGGGTTATAGTGAGGTATAAAGGTAGACTGACTCATAGTAATAGAATTTTTATACAAAGTAGCTTTTAAAGAAGTCTAGGAGAAAATACAAGTAAGATTTGAATACAAGGACAGGAATTCAATGTGGACCTTGACCAAATTGCAAGTTTCATACAGTGCAAAATGGCAATAATGTTTATAAATCTATTTACTTTGATTTTCTAAGTGTCAGTGCTAGATGATATACATAGTATATCATACTATGATATATTACTATGATATACATAGTAATAACTTTAGGCCTTGTCTTTGGTTAAATGTAATTGTTTCTCTCAAAGAAGTAGATCTTTTAGATTGAAGAATGGTTCCCCAGAGAGAAAGATAAAAGGTTAAGTTAGAGAGTTCAGGGAGGAACTTCTATAAACATCTGTGAGAAGGGCTCAGCTCCTGTGTTCAGTGGTTAGTCCACTGGCCACATACACTGGGACTGGGGGGTTCAAACACGGCCTCGGCTTGCTAAAAACCACAATGACAACTACAACAAAAAAATAGTCGGGCATTGTGGTGGACCCCTGTATTCCCAGCCACTTAGGAGGCTGAGGCAAGAGAAATGCTTAAGCCCAAGAGTTTTTTTTTTTTTTTTTTTTTTTTTAGACAGAGCCTCAAGCTGTCACCCTGGGTAGAGTGCCGTGGCCTCACAGCTCACAGCAACCTCCAACTCCTGGGCTCAAGTGAGTCTACTGTCTCAGCCTCCCAAGTAGCTGAGACCATAGGCACCCACCACAACGCCCGGCTATTTTTTGGTTGCAGCCGTCATTGTTGTTTGGTGGGCCCTGGCTGGATTCGAACCCACCACCTTAGGTGTATGTGGCTGGCGCCTTAGCCACTTGAGCCACAGGCACTGAGCCAAGCCCAAGAGTTTGAGGTTGCTGTGAGCTGTGAGACCATGGTACTCTACCGAGGGCAACATAATAAGAGTTTGTCTCAAAAAAAAAGAAAAAATTGTGAAAGTATCATCACACACAAAATCTTATTTTTATCATTACACATCAAGAATATTATATATATATATATATATATGTATGGAAAAATAAAGACTTATAAATTAATGAAATTGTGTGCTTACAACTCCTTTTGGCGGTTACAGAACGCCGGAGTCATAGTTTAAACTCAGCACTAAAAGAAACGAGATAAAGTTCATTTGTTTGCTTTTGCTTACAGGACAATGAATTGTATGTCTTAGCTATTTTGTATTGTTATAGCAGGATACCTGGGATGGGGTAATGTACACTGAACAGATATTTATTTGGTTCACAGTTCTGGAGGCTTGAAAGTACAAGATCAAGGGGCCTAAGGAAAAAAAAAAAGGTCAAGGGGCCGTCCATTGTTGGGAGATGGAAAGGCAAGAAAGAGCAAAAGAGAGGGGGAGAGACAATGAAGGGGGGACTGGACACATCAGAAACCTGTCCCTGCAGTAACCAAGTAACTAACCCACTCTGGGGATAATGCCTTTAGGGATTAAGTTTCTCCCCAACTCCTGAAGCTTGTGAGATACATTTAAATCATAGTAGAGTTCATTCATTAATTCATTCTTCTCTTGCATTCATTCCAGGGATCAGTCAAAAGACACTTATTGAATGATTCAGTGCAAGGAACTACACTCTATTTTTAATTTTCACATTGCGTAACAGTTACGTAGATATTTAAGGTTATCAGATATCAGGTATTTTTTGATTTAGGTTATGAGGTAAAAGACCACAGTCACTTCTATTGATAACTTACTACATGACTGAAAATGCCCTATATACGAATTAAATGTTCATCACCTTCCAAAAACTGTCTTCACTCCTGCTTTGGCAGTTGTATCTCTAGGTTCATCATCATTCGACAACAACTTTACCAGGCACTTTGCCATCTACCCAGCAAGTGTTATAGATCATGCTGGTCACAACGTTCCCTGATGCTACTTTCCTTTTTGTGCTCATTGAGAATTTGAACTTGATGCCCATCCAAGATCATTTTCTACATCCAGCTCTTCTAAACCACCCTTAAAAGTTGTTTGGAATGAACTGCATTTGGATTTTCTGGTCAAGAGAATGGGGCAATTCAGAGCCATTTCTGAGCTCTCTCCACCGAGGAGATGACTCCTTGTTGGTTCCTATCTGAAAATCCTTTCACTTCACTTTGGTGTTTCATCATTTCTGCCCTTTCTCCGCAGTCTGGATGAGCACTCCAGTGGCATAATTGGAGATTAGATAAGAGATGAGGCCCATAGTTCTTTCTGATGACACCACAGGAGTTATACATTATTTATAGGTTGTTAGACTAACTTGCAAAATTTCAGTCCATAAATGACATTCATACAGTAACATTTCTTTGCAAAATGAACATGAGAGTAAAGTGCTTGCCACAAAAATCACCTATGTGTAGGCTAATACGTATATGTGGGGAAACATTAATGCCTTTTTATTATCAAAATCATGAACTTCTCACTACTAGTTAGTTCAAATCACACATTTGACAGGGATACGGAGTGTTATTACGCAAAAAGAATGTAAAGTAAAAAAAGAATATTGCTATTTTATTTTACACTTACCAAATGTGAAGAAAAGTTAAGTAATTGATTGAGTCACCTATTGAAATATAAATGGATTTGGGAGCAAAAGCAAGTTCTGCCTGGCTGCAAAATCCATGGATGTTTTAATGACTATGAACCACTGACTTAGTTCTCCTGGAAAGAATTATTTGCTCACACCCTAATTCCAGTTTGGGAATTTTGGACTGCCAAGGACCGGATGAGACAAATTGTACCACAAAACAAGAATAAAAATAAAGGCAGACTGAAGTTAAAGCGCGTATATGTTTAAGGAGAAAAAAAAAATGACCTTTCTTTCTTACTTGTAGGTAATGACATTGAAACATTGAGCAGAGATCAAAAGATCAAGGAGGGAACGGAACTGGGAGACCTTTAGTCTGGATGTTGCCCTTTGGACGGTGTCACAGGCTTACCCTGAAAGTCTGTTGACCTCAGAGATCAGGTCCTTTCACTCTTTTCTATATATGATGATTCTTGAATCAATTCTTCAATTAATTCTGGGTCACAAAGATACCATGCCCTGGAACATTATAATTCCTGGAGTAAATTTTATAAGATGAATTTTTGGTTTACTGGTCATATTTGTGAAAAGCTATTTTCTTCTTTTAAAAAACATAATTTAATGAAAGCATGAGATTCTTGGGGAAACAACAAACTACACAGTTATCTAGTTATCTGTCAGTTTTTAAAAATAAATTAACTGTATTATTTCTGTTGTGAGGCATAGCATATTGACCTAAAAGAGGAAAGATTATTTTAAAGAGAATTTTATAATAAGCATACTTAGCTTCTTATCTCTGAATTTGTAATTCAGTTTTGATACTTACATGTGACATTTGAGAATAAAGTTTATGTAAAAGAGCTTCCCTGGATTTTGATTAGCAATGTTAAGATATTTTGTAATCTTACAGAAAAACACTTCAGTTATTTGTGTCCATTTCAATAACAGTATCTCACCTCTACTACTTTTTAGATGAATTTATTATGTCACTAACTTATTATATGAGAAACAATTATAGTATGTCTATTTTATACCAGATTGACCTTTGTACCTCATTCCTAACATCCTTTGAAGTCTTATTGCAAATTAATTCAGTACATAATATATCTAAAATTCTATGTATCAAAACATTTTAAAATTATATTTTATTTAGATATTATAGGGACATAGGGACACTGACTTGGTTAAAAAAGTAGTGGACTTTAATGATCATGCTATGAAAGTTATTTTAGATTCATGAACAGTAACAGAAAAAGCACGAAGATTAAGCAAACTTTGCTTGACGTAAATTTATTATTACTCAAATATCTAAATTTTGAGTAGTGGGTTATTTAGAAAACAGTAGCTTGGTCTCCTGTGATGTGTGGATTGTCTTACACCGAACATAAGCTAATCGCTACTTGTGAATTTGTCTTAGTGAAGATAATTGTAGTCTATTATTCTTAGGAGTAATAATAGGAAAGGAATGCCCTCCAGCCATAGCGATCCTGGTGGAAGTGCTGTCCTGGTGAAAGCGCTGAAGTAATGGCATCTTAATCACCCACTACACATGGTGTTGTTGAAAACCATCTTCATCTAGCTCTCAGCTTGGAAGCAAGGTGAATATCATGTTTTGAACTGTGCCCTCCCCAAATTTATAGGTTGAAGTCTTCATTCCCAGCACTTTAGACTGTCCTTACTTGGAAACAGGATTTTTGCAGATATAATTAGTTAATATGAACTTACTCTGCAGTAGGATTGGTCTCTAATATGACTCATGTCTTTATGAAAAGTAGAAAATTGGAGGCAGACGTAACACGCATGGAGACAGCCATAGGAACATGAAGGCAGAGAGCTGTATGAGGCAATTATGAGGCAATTATGAGGCAAAAAAATGTCCACTATCCCTGGGCAGCCACCAGAAGTAAGGACAAAGACGTGGAATTCCCTCTCCTTCGTGACCTCAGAGAGAATGTGACCCCTTCGGCACCTTGATTTTAGACTGCTAGTTTACATGATTGTGGTGCAAAGTAAACTGTGGTTTTAGAGATTCCGTCTGTGGTGCATTGTGATAGCATGCTGGCAAACTGATTCAGGGGGATGCCATATCTGATATGTCATGACTGCATGCAGTCTTTTGTCCCTTAATTTATGAGGTAAAGATGTCCAACCAAAGAATCAATGGCTTTATGTTCTAATGGATTCACTAAATTCCTTCACAGTTTCTATGCCAAAATCATAGCATAGACTCACCCTCTCGGAGAGTCGATCTCTCATATTGTGCTAGTATTTTTCTCCCTGTGTCTTCCAGGTGAGTCAGAGAATTAAACTTATTTTCTTCTGTAGTTTTCCCACCCTCCTTTATTTGTAATGATTCCTTCCTATGAACTCAACCAGTGGTAATTACTAAAGGTTTCTGGTTTAAAACTTAGCATTTTTCTGTCATTATTTTGAAACTATTGTGTTCCAGAAAAGTTCATAATGTGCAAATACTGTAATGAAAAAAAAGGCCAATTCCTTGTCCTCATGTAGTTGACCTTCTAGTCTCTATATGGTACAGGTTAACATATACTTATCGTCACTTGTTCAATGTCCTCCTTCTCCAGTAAATTATTAACTGAGGACAAGGAGTATGTGTGTCTTTTCCACACGGTCTAGGAGAGTGTAATGATGCGATGAATGTTGAATGAGTTGAGTGAATAAATGAGTGAATGGGGACTTTTACTGTCACATAGTAAAATTTTGACCTCATTATGACTCCTCATAAAATATATCCTGAGATAAATCAGTTATTTTGGAGCTGCTACCAGGGAGTATACGCGAAGAAACAGGTTGGGCGTCGCCTGTGGCTCAGTGAGTAAGGCGCCAGCCCCATATACTGGGAGTGGCAGGGTTGAACCTGGCCTGGCCAAACTGCAACAAAAAAAAATAGCCGGGTGTTGTGGTGGGTGCCTGTGGTCCCAGCTACTTGGGAGGCTGAGACAAGAGAATCGCCTAAGCCCGGGAGTTGGAGGTTGCTGTGGGCTATGATGCCAGGGCATTCTACCGAGGGTGACAAAGTGAGACTGTCTCAAAAAGAGAGAGAGAGAAGGAACAGGGAACTGAAACAGAAAAAGGAGGAAAGCCACACAGAAAGGCAAGGTCCAGGAGTAGGTCACTGCAGGGAGCAATTGAGGCTCAATGCTGCCCCAGTTGAGTAAACAAAATGAACAGGCTTCAGAATAGTCCTGCTGGGTCTTTAACCACCAACCCTTATCCTTCCTTAATTGATGATTACCCCAATTTCAGGGCCAAACTAGAGAAAGCTCAAAATTGAAACAAAGTCTCAGTGCATAAGGTGAAAGCAATTGGCATGAGTGGAAATTGTCCTCCACAGTAGCTGCAGATAAACTCAAAGGTGGACCAGAGAGACACGTGGCATGATCTTCAACAGCATCTGCTTTACTTTCCTTGCAAAATAATAAAGAATTTCTTAAATAGATCCAATTATACAAAACACATTTCCAGCACAAAGGTGTTGAAAACAATTATATTTTTATGGTTACAAAACCAAACTCCCCTCAGTGAGAGTCTTACAAGTTATTTTAGTTCCCAAATGGGAAAACACTTTATAGGCAACTGGACACTCTCCAAAGAAATGTGTACTCATGGTTGTACCTGGATTTACTATTTATTCACTAATTCAGTAATAATTTCTTCATTTTTGATTAATGGTATCATGACAAGATTCATAATATAGTCATAACATTTTCATATAACCACAAATTTATAAGAACCTTAAAAACACCGATTGGTAACCTTAGAAACACCTATTGCTGACTTCCAGATATTGAGAAAGACAATATCTTACTGACCATTTGTGATAGCCATTTGTGAATTACTTTCTAATTAAGTCAAGACAGTAATAGAATCTCTACTGTGGTCGTTTTCATTGACAGAGTTGATTATCACAAGAAAGAAGTAGGTAATCTTTTCAAAAATTAATTTTAAATGTATAATACTACAAAGGCTAGTATAGAAAATTTAGAATTTTGAAATACTGTAAGTGAATTGTTATGGTTAACCTCTTTAATGATTCCAATAATATAGATCAAATTTCATTCTCATAAATTGCTGATGACAGTGTATAATAATATGACAGCTTTGGAAAAGTTTTCAGCAGTTTATTAATTAAATTAACCATAAGTTTATTCTATGACATACCAATGTTTCTTATAGGCATTTTCCTAAAGGAATGAAAATCTACAGTGACACACAAAGAATATTATGGTGCATGTTCATAGCAGATTTACTCATAAAAATTCCAAAAAAATGTAATAAATTCAAATGTCCATCAGAG